CGGATAGTCTTCTTGCCCTAGTGTAATGCGAGACTTTTACAGGAATGAGATCCAGCTCTAATGTCGATCATATGATGGACGAAAGCTCAGCCCGTTTTCACCCGGAACGAGGGAGGTCTCGTGGACTGCATCAACTGGACGTCGTAGGTCTGGTAGTAGTAAAACTGACGTTTCCATTGAATTTCACACAGCCTTGCTTTCCCAAAAGTTGTTCTCATCCAAGGTCGACTGCTGCTTCGACCTCGCATATGTCTTATCAACACCCTCAGCGGGAGCCGAATCGTGACAGTAGAGAATGTGAGCTTAACACATTAACCACTCGGCCACATTGCCACGAGTGTCCTTGGGTCACAGGGCAGATGTGAATTTCCAGAAAGGCCAGGCCTTTTACCATATCACATTCTTTGATGGATTGTCGATTAAACAAACGTATTTTTGCTATAGCAATGGACTACGCTACTTAGGCGTGTTGATAAGACTTATGCGAGGTTGAAACTGCAGGCTGCCTGGATGAGAACAACTTTTGTGAAAGCAAGGCTATGTGAAATTGAATAGAAACGTCAGCTGTACTCATATCATTGTGGGAAAATTCTAATACCAGTTCTTCGTCATCTTGAACAAAATAGGGTGAATACATGTCATATTACTGATTCGATAGTAGTCTCGAAACTATACTTACATAAAAAATAAGTTTTAGGTAACCAATCAAATCATGAGATGAATAATTAAGATCGGAATGCTAGGTGTATGAAATAGGGACTGTGGTAGCAACCGCAAACCGTTTCTCTTGTTTTATATTTTTGCTCTATTTAGAAAAGCATGAATTCTTGCTCTGATAATGTCTGCCACAGAACAGGCGCAAGCATAGTACAGGTTCATCTTGGTCGTAGGACAGTGAGCCAAGGTGTTCATCGCACAATACAGGACTATTCCCTATGCCGAGATCCTGCTTCGGTCTTTACTGCGACCACATCACAAATTCCTTCCAGCCAACTTTTCCTTCAAAAAGGAAGGTCATGTGACACTATCCTATATAAATAGTCAGTTAAAAATCTACGGAAATCACTTGACATTGTCTTGCACTTGGTTTCCACATGATGACGGAGCGTCACTCTGTAAAGATATGAGCTTGCATTGGCAATAGGTCAGCCTAAATAAACAAGGAAGAATTGCAAGACGAATTTACAAGGATAATTATTTCAAGATATAAAGGACAGAATTGTGTGGCCTTTTGTGGTCGCAATCTCTTTTCGTTGTAAAGAAGTTGTTTGACCTTGTTTTCGCAACTTAGTCATATTGGTAGGAAGACTTAGAATAACGCACCTATTCCGAAGTCCATTGTATGTATGCTAATTTGCAGTCGGAGCATGGACGTGGTACATCCTCAGACATTTCGCTGGCATTATGAGTGAGTATTGCCATTTTTAGCACCACACTAAAACTCGTAAGAGACAAGTGTAGCCGATCCTATGACCAAACGTGTATTAAACAGTTGTAATATCTCTTCTTCTTTCCTGGCCTATTCACCTATCCTATATCCTCGAATCCCCACTTCACTATCACACTTTTTTCCTTGCTTATTTACATGTAGTGTGGTGTGCCCTCTTGAGCGGCTTTCATGAGAACCCTCCACATTCATGCTGGCGTTCTCAACTCCATTCACCCTTGTGTCGGGAATGTT